ATTTAAGTGATTTTATCATATTTTACTTGTTTTTGTATTTATAAAGTTAAGTAAAGAAGAACTATTATTGAAACAAAAAAAAAACTTCAAATATTTAAACAAAGAAAAAAGAAAAATTTTGACTAGCCAAAAAAAAAACTTTAATGTCAATTCCTTGAGTTAGTCGAATTGATCGCTCGCCTTTGATTCCTTATTTTCCACATCGCCTTTGATTCCTTATTTTCCACATATATATATATATATATATATATATATATATATATATATATATATATATATATATATATATATATATATATATATATATATATATATATATATGTATATATATATATATATATATAAACGTTTCATTAGATTTTACAAGCTTCTCAAACTTTAAGAACAACCTTTATTTATTGTGAGCATGATTTGGGTAGCATACAAAGCATTGATTTTGTGTGCTGCAAACTGCTGAATTTGCTCTTTGTCTAAAAACATGATACCTTGATACATTTTACCAGTCTAATCCTTGTGTTCTTTACAAAATTTGAGGAAATAACAAATACATTTTTAAGAAAGGTGTGGCTTTAATTCAGCACCTTTTAATTGATAATTGGTTCTTGGCAAGGTGCCTTCAAACTGTGCAGGCACTAACATTCACATAGAAGGCATTTAAATAAGTCTCTATTATATTATCAATTTTTGGAGTGTTAATTCTTGGTCATATACAAGATTTTCCTGGATTAATCTGTTGAATTGCACTAAATGATAATATGAACAGTTGTCTTAGTTAAACATAATTAAACATGCAGTAATAATTGAACATGCAGCAATAACTTGTTCATACTCAAATATTTTAAATTTGGCAGACAAATACATTTACAAAAAATAACTTTGAGTAGCCTCTAATATTGTTGTCTTCTTGTTTTGGTAAACCAATTTTGGTTGTATAGCAAAATATGCAAGTTAAAATTTTCTAATCAAGTTTATTTAATTGTTAGCTGGGAAATATATATAGATAACAGAGATATATCCAGAAGATATAATAAAAAAGTTTCTTCTGTGTACACAGAAAATTATACTGATACAGAATATGAATTTTCTGTGGGCATTCTGGATACCTTCTGTGGGCATTCCTTTTTTTCTTTTAACAGATGCATTTTTTTTAAAATGTTACATTAGAAAATTTTAATTTACGCTAACTTGTCAACGAGGGAGTATATTATATATAGTTTTATCCTATAGCTTATATACTCTCTTTACTTTCCGGAATGAAATGAACCTTTTTTTTTCCAGAAAAAAAATCTAAAAGAACAACCTTTTCAAAAAAAGGAAAAACCCAAGCTCATGCATAAATATAATCATTTAAAGTAACATATATGGTGAATATATCATTCATTAAACAAACCAGTTACTTTTATAAAAAAAAAAAACCAAGGCGAATTGTAAGCCTAAAATTATGTTTAGAAGCAGAAATATGAAGTTACAAAAAAGCTGAAAGGTTTTTGTTAATATCTGGATAAATATTTTGTTTTAGTTTAATCAACTCTAAACTTATTTTCTATGGTTTATGTAAGATACGAAGACAACTTGTCTCGGCACTTGGGGATCCCTTTAGGTAGAGCAGTTTAAGAGGAAACTTGGGCGCCCCAAGTGGTATAGTGGTGTCAAAATTGGCCTGAATACGTCACTCAATAAATTTTTACTTTTAATAAAATTATAGATATATATTTATAGTAGCCATGGCAGTGGTTAGAGCTCTGGCTTAGAACCAAGAGGTCTGAGGTATGATGCCAACTCTAGCCAGATAAACAACATTGGTAGGAACTGAGACATGAACTTCCTAGTTAAATCTTCTTCCGTGGTGCTCTGTATCAAGAATGTAAGGAACTTTGGAGCACCTTATAAACTGCCCAAAAAAAAATTAAATATTAAACAATGATCTCATAACAGGTTGGCAATCGTGAAATAAATAAAAGCAATTCCAAGATAAAAACTAGTTAATGAAGTATTTTCGATTTCAAATCAAAGTAAAATACTTTTAATAGTTGCAAGTTATTAAAATTGAGATTACTTGGGCAGTTTGTTTTCATAATTTTGTTTTCATCGTTAAGTATATATATATATATATATATATATATATATATATATATATATATATATATATATATATATATATATATATATATATATATATATATATATATATATATATATATATATATATATATATACATACATACATTGAATTTAAAAATCTAGCTTAAAAAAAAACTCAAAACTTAAAACAATAAACTTCTTTTAGGGGTTGCCACTTTAAGGTAAAACCATTTATATAAAAGTGGTTCTACTTTCAAGAGTTTATGAATTACTACAGCAACAATCTACTGTTCTTAACTTAGCAAGCTTTAAGTGGAATTTATAAAAAAATACATATAAAATGTTGTACATTCAGCAAAGTGTACATTCATCATCTGATATAAACGTAGGCGCATCAGAGTGTACATACATTGACTAAAACTTTGGTTTGGACAGGTACTGTATTAAATAAATGAAAATCTTCTTTTTATTAAAAGTTACTAGTTTTAATGCATTACTTTTTGGTGTTTGATGAGTTCGGAGTGTTACTTGCATTTTTTGTGTTGTTTTTTAGTGTTGAAAACTTTACAGGAATTTATAAGTGTAAAAAAAATTAAAATCAAAGAATTGTTTTTTTTTTAAAAGAAAACAATATTTTTAAATGATGACAACATGATGAGCTGCTCATTGATATCATTTATATATGTTTTAAAATAAGTTTCAAATGCTGAACTATAAGTTTGTTCTCATGAAAACTATTTAATTTCAAAAACAATTTGATAAATGATTAATTATATGTTTACATTAAGATAAACATGGCAATAACTATTGGTAAGTGGATAATAACTGTGGAATGCACAGTCTTGCTTATTGTTGGTCTCTCTGAAAATTTCTCATTGTGTACATAATGAGAAATCATCATGTACATGTACACATTTTATCTTATGCAGATTTAAACATTTTATCATATCAAGGTTTAAATATTTTATCATATCAAAAAACAAAATGAATCAAGTTCAAAACTCAAAAAACAAAATTTAAAAGTTATGTATATAGTATATGCATAATGTATATTTATAAATAGCATATGCGAGCCTTCCCTGGAAAGGCGTGCGGTTTTTCGTCTCGTATGACCACATGTGAGTATATTATTTTAGACAACTTGAACATGGTCATTTGCAAGTCTTATAATAATGCTGAAAAAGTTTCAAAAACAAAAAAACAAAACAAAAAACTAACAAAATAAAAAGAAAAAAAGAAAAGCAAATTAATAATTTAAAAAATTTGTGTACTGTTTTTATTTTTGTTTCTTTAGAGTTACATTCTGCAACAAAATTAGAAAAGGCGAAGCAAAAAAAAACAGTTTGAAGTCTACAATCAAAAAAATGATTTTTCTTTTAATTTTTTTTAAGAGGATAGCAAAAATACAAATTGCAATGTGTTTATAAAATTTATTTGTATAATTTTAATGTAACAACAAGGGTTGAATTAAGCGAAAGCGAAATGCAAAATCTGGAAAAATATCTAGTATTCAAAATTTTAGTTTATACAAAACCAGGTTCCTTGTTTTTAAGGGGAGAATCAACTTAAATTTGTAGCGAAAAAATAAAACAATAAACTTAATAAACAATAATAGTGTTATTACTTTTATAATGCACTTATAACTTTTAAAATTCATTCTTTGTTCAGGCAACATTAGTATTCCCAAATTTTAATAGAAGTAGAAAAATATCTAGAAAAATAAAGTGGATTGGATGTTTAAATAATATTAAAACTTAAATAACTTATAAAAACGTGACAAACAACTTTATAAAAATGTATCGTATTAAAAGTTTAGCATTATGAAAAACGTTACATTAGTAACGTTTTTCATAATGCTAAACTTTTAATAAGATAAGACAATAAAAACGTTTAAGACCGTAAAAACGCGCATTAATTTTAAAATTCACCAATTAAAAATTTTTATTGGTTGATTTTATAATTAACACGCGTTTTTACGCAATATTTTTCATAATGCTATACTTTTTATAAAGTACTTTTTTATAACGTTGTTTAAGTGATCTGTGAAAGTTCCTGAAATTTTTAATAATATTTAAATATCCGCTTTAATTTTTCTAGATGCTTTTCTACTTTAATAAATGTTTGGAATTAATTATGTTGTTTGAACAAAGAATGAACTTTAAAAGTAATAAGTGCTTTATAAATGTAATAACACTATTATAGTTTTATTACTTTTATAATGCAGTTAGTGACTAAAGTGTTATTACTTTTGTAGTCATAAGTTTATTGTTTTTGTTTTGTTTTTTGTAACTTTCTCGCTAGCAAACTTTTAATAATTTGCTCCTTTTAAACAAAGTACACAGCTTTGCATGAACTAAAATTTTTAAGACCTAAAAATTTACCAGAGTTTGCAAATCGCGATCGTATAAGTTAACTCTTGATATAAACTTGTTACATTAGAGTTATACAAATATATTCTACCAACAGATGACGATATATATTTTCTCTTTTCTCTTTAAAAGAAAAAACACATAAAATATGGGAAAGTCATCCTTTTTAACGCCTAAAACTGTTTTTTTTTTGTTGTTGCTTTGACTTACTGAATTTTGTTGCCAATAATAATAACCACTAAGAAAAAACAAAAATAAAAACAACATACAAATTATTTAAACTATTATTATTGTTTTCTATTTAAGTTTACTTTAATTTCTTATGTAGTTATTAAATTTAAAATAATTTTTCAGCAACACATATATATATATATACTTGCGCAAATGGCCGTGATCACGTTAACTTGAAAAACATTTTCGTGGTCATACGAGACGTAAAACCGCATGCCTTTCCTGGGAAGGCTTGATATACATAATGTATATTTTAAAAAATGAATGGCAAGAACAAGGATTCTTAATTAAATTTAAAAAAAGGAAAATTTTTTTTACCTAACTCTCCCTCTGCATCTGAATCGGAAAATTCCAGAAGCTCTTCATCATTCTCTTTAAGGAATTCATAAAAAGCTGGATCTTTTTCCTTAAGCCTTCCAAGTTGACTTTTGTGAGATTTTCTAAAAACAAACAAAAAATAAATGCTACATAAATGTTAAATAGATGAATATGTCAAATTGTCTTATGTTGAAGACATACAGAGCCTTATTGATTTATAAAAATGTTTCTAAACAAGTTTCAAATATTGAAATAGTTCTTCATTAGTTCTTAGGTATATCTAGTACCTCTTGCTTTAGATACTGCCTAATGTCTGAATTTAAGCAGACACAAGAACTGTTTAAGGCATCTAAAATACATACTAAAGTTTACATATTTTTAATATTGCTTTTTAAATATATAACTATTAAAAAAACAAAAAGAAGAACGTCACTGTATATCCTAGTTGAAAGTATTTCAAGCTTCTAAGTACCTACTATGTAAAAAATTCCTTATAGAATGAAGTGGAGTGAATAAAGCACCAGGGAAAATATGCCACATAAAAATTTTCTTCTGTGTTAGACAAACTATTTACATTTCACTACAGGTGAAAGTACTATAATATATAGACATTGATTTGGTTTTTATATATTTTAAGAGCAAGCCATGTTATCAAGGCAATATTTTTAAAAACGCAAACTAAATAAATTGAAACTTCTGAATAAGAATAAATTTAAATTCCCATTAATTATATCATATAACAAGGTTTTATTTATTTATAATTACATTAACTATATCATATAACAAGGCTTACCCCATCTTTTTTGTATATTGGGTTAGGAAAAGTTTGAAAATGAAAAAAAAATTTGCAAATTTTAATGATTTTTTCAAAGAATTTTTTTGTTTTTTTGTCATAGGTACATTTTCACAAACTCCTGGAGTTGCTAAATTTCATGGGTTCAAAAATATTATGTTTTGTTGTCATAGGTACACTTTCACAAACTTCTGGAGTTGCTACCTTTTCATGTCAAAAAAAGTTGTTAGATTATCTTAAAATTTATAATGTTATTCATAATGTTTAAAAGTCTAAATATAGTTTTATATGTTGCAGAGTGAAGTTTAAAAACAGATTTCAATTTTGTTAAAATATTACTTAACAGTCTGAATATATTGTAAAAGCCAAAAACCTCTTTTAATTTTAGATTAAATAATTACTGAGTTTTTTTTGCAAAGTAAGTTTCACAGCCATAAACATTTAACAGAGCTCTAAAGTGTTCCAAAAAACACAATTTTTATTGAATTTACAATTGGAATTAAGATACATTTGGGTTGCGAGAACATGTCTGATTATTTTTTAAGAATTTTTTTTCATTTTTTTAGTAATTGCCAGAAGCCATTTTTAATTATGGCTGCCAAAAGGTCTTATTTCCATCATTTTTAACATTTACTGCGTGTGATAAGATAGAAAACCACTCAATATGATATATAAATATTTAGCAAAAAAAAAACTTTTAAATTTTTATAAACTTTGAATTTATGAAACAGCTTTAAGTAAATGTAATCTGATATATATACATTACTAACATTTCCTGCTGGCTTATATCATGTCAAATCTTCAGTTTCTTTACTTATTCTGCTTGAATGCAAAATGATTTTTAAGACTTTTACTATAGAGGACCCTGTGTTATGTATTTATCTCATAATACTCTGTATTTCTGTTAGGATGAACCAGATACATGTGAATCATTAGAACCAGTTTCTAAACAGAAACAAAGAGGGCCACCAAATCTAAAGGCTAAAATAAGTCATCTTCCACTGAAGATACCAGGTCAAGTTAGACGTCGCACAAAACTCATTTCAGCACTAGACAAAGAAAACATCCCACCCAGTCGTTCATTGAAGTAATTGGTTCATACCGAGCTAAATTTAGCACTAATAAGTTACTAACTAATAGAGCAGTATTGCAAAGATACAGAGATATAAGAAAGAAGGACCATCCGACATCCAAACAGGATATTTCAGCTCTTTAATAAAATGTTACCTATCTGGCAGTTAGCTAACATTCCAACTCAAGTCTAACCACTGCATTGAAAAGATCATCAAGGTCAAAAAGACATACTGCCTGGCTTATACAGAAAGGAATAAAAACTTCAGAAAACCTGACTTCCAACACTACCTCAATTCCTTTTGTAATCTTGCACCAGGTGTTGTTGAAAAGATACTTGCTTTGATAAGAAAAGCTAACTTTTGGATTCCTGCAGGGACAGCGTAAAGTTCCTCATGAAAGCACTATTCTTACCACCATCGATCAAACAGCAATAAGTAAATTAAACTGAAAAGAAGATTGAATAGCAAGAATACAAGAACAATGAGCTTGATATCAAAACAAAATGGATGAGGAACAATATGCGCAGTCTGAGGCTAACAGATTAATGTTAGGATGTGAAGATATAAATACAGATACAGAACTTAATGACCCAAAATGGTATCCAAAGGAGGGAAAACCTAAATAATAAGAGTCAATAAAGTTGGACCTACTATCCAAAACCCTTGGAGAAATTACATCAAAGTTAGCCTCCAGATTGCAGCTCAGTCTCAATGCTGAACTTTCAATATTCTCTCAATTTATATTAGTTGGTTCTGAAAATCTAAGTGATGTTGTACTTAGCCACTCAACAATAAAGCACCAAAGAATCAAAGGTAAGAAAAAATCCGGCAGCAAAGATAGGATATTTGTACATAGTTGCTGTTGCCTCTTGACCAGCCAGTAAAGCAGTTTCTTGGAGTGCCAAAGATGGAAAACGGAACTGGTGTTTCCCAGGCCGAAGCCCTTATAGTCACCTGTGACACTTGGGATATAAAAAATAAGGTTGTTGCCACCTGCTGGGATACAACTGCTTCAAATAGCAGTCAACTGAGTGGAGCAGACATTCTTTTTCAGCAAGCCCTTGGCAGGCCATGTCTTAGTCTGGCATGCTGTTATCATGTAGCAGAGCATTAACATAGTCATCATACAAATAAAGCTATTCGAGGTGCTGATGAAGGTATGTTTTTGTTACAGTAAATATCTGAATGGCCTGTACCATAATCAAAGACAAAATATTATATTTTCTAGTATGTACATCACTCTATTTTTGTAGCCAGCCTTTCTGGCCATCATTTTATTAATATTTAACATGAAATATGTGATTGTAAACTTTTATGTCCAGATGAGCGACTGTTTGTTCACTTCAAACAGTGCTTTGAACAGATTGACCAGGATGATCTACATCAATGGCAATGACCTGCCTACACAGCCTTGCCAACTTACTAAGAGGAATCTTGTGCACAGCTTTCGGATGGAGAAACCAGGAGCCTGTCATTGTGCACGGTTCATGGCTTTGTACTTGGGCAAGATTGCTATGACCATTCATCAGTTACCAGATCTGACCACAGTAGAGGAGGGACAGGCTGTCAAGAGAATGGTAACATTCATTACAGCTCACTATGCCAAGTATTGGCTGCAGGCTCCTCTTACAGTAGCAGCACCCGGTCTAGACCTTTATTCCTAGAAGAAAATGTTAACTACTCAGAGGATGCTAAACATAACAATAACATCATTCTAGTTGTCAATAGTCACCAGGAACTCATAGATTTCAGCCATCTTACAAAGTAAGAACGCATGAAAATAACATAAACGATATCACCACACCTCCTTGTCAACATTTATTATAAATTGATGTACTGCCATGTTAGACTTTTTAACACAAAAGTTACAATGCATGAATGTTTGTATAGATATTAATAAACATTTGTTTTTGTATAAAAGAAATATAATAATATCCAAAGATTTGTACAGTATGATATACATTTGGTGATCGTTCAAATTTTAACAACAATAAATTTGGTTGCATAAAGTATGCATATCTTTCATTTCTGTAATGTGTCATTTATATCATATTTAGTATGCATGTATTATTAGTACCATTCATTTTATAATCCAATTTAAACAAAACTTGGAATTTTTGCTCTTTTTACAGCCATATTGAAAATTTTTAAAAGTATATTTTATCATAGAACAATTCAGCTCATCATTGGCAGAAAAAGTTGAAAACACTTAAAATATAAAATTTTGGCAGCCATATCAAATTTTGGCAGCAATATTGGATTTTTAAATATTACCCACAAAATGTATATTTTGTCCTAGAACAACTTTATAACCATAAATATATCAAATTTAGTGTTTATTCAAGTCATACTTGGTAGCAAAAACTGTGAAAATTTGACAAAATGACAACCATATTGGACTTTGGCAGTCATGTTAGATTTATAAAAATTACCACAAAAATGTATAATTTACCCCGGAACAATTTTAAAACAACTTATATATCATATTGAGTGATTTTCTCATCACATAAAATAAATGTTGAAAATGATGAAAATGAGACTTTTTGGCAGCCATGATTAAAAATGGCTTCCGACGAAGACTAAAAAAGTGAACAAAAAACTTTGAAAAAAATTAGACGTGTTCTTGGCAGAAGCATAGCGGTGGGCCCCCAGGGTCCGCTGCTGCAGGCTCTGGGGGCCTAGCTTAAGATATCCTTAATACTGCGAAAGACTAAGAAGATGGAACTAACATCATTGTCTAATTTTTTTCGTAAATAGCCTAGGATTAAGAGAAATTTTTTACACTTTTTCCCGCATTTTTACAGATTAAAAATTTCTGTTTTTTTTTATTTTACCTGAGTCCAGAAATAGCAAATTATGATATAAGTTGAATAGCAAATTATGATATAAGTTGCTTATTTAAAAATAAAATAGCAGCACATGTTTTATTTGACATTACCCATTAGCATAGCAACCGCAAAAAGATCCTTAAGCACATTAAAACACATTTAAGGACAATAATGGCACAAATTATCTTGTCTGCAAGAGACCTAATACCTACTGAAGCAGAAATAGCAGTTCAATTAAATTTAAAAGATGTTTTTTGACAATTTGTAGCTATAAAGACAAGAAAAAACTGGGCTAACAATATTCTAATAGATCAAAAATAACAAATTGTCTCCGTTAGAATTAGAGCCCTTAAAACAACATTTATGAGAATTATCTGTTATCACCCTCTTTAGATTATAATATATTAAGGAAATGACTAAAAAAATTT